CTTTTTTTTGTTATACAAAAAATCTTAAATTTTTACTTGTGTGACATATTTACTCTCCGTCAAAGTTTTGTCAACGAGAACCGTTAAAAATTTTCCTACATGGATGCCAGAAAGTAAACGGTATTGACATAGCGCTCACGTGGCTTAAATGAATAAAACCGACGTTGTTTTGGCTGAAAAATCATCTAACGGAACCTTGACGGAAGGTAAATGTGTCACATAGGTATAAGTTTGAGATTTTTTATGTCATGAAAAAAAGTTCATGGTTAATGTGTCACAATGGGCATAATTTGAGATTTTTTGTGACTTTTTCCCTTATATTTTCAGTGGAGTAACCGAGTGCTTAAGTAGTGGATGTGGATAGGGTGAAGATAGAGTTGCGTAAATATGGACAACAATGAGAGCTAGACACTCAAAGTAATGAGTAATTGGGGTCTTTCTTAAATAAAACCGAGTATGGATTTCGGTTGCCTAGAACACTTGAAGGAAGCCAATTTATCAGTCGAGTGGCATAGATGCCTCAAATAATGTAGCAAACCCAAGTTTAGCAATGTGTTGATGTTTCCTCTCAGCAGACATCATTTTGCTCTGGTACACCTGGACTAGAGAGTTGTTGTCGTATGCCACATTCACGAAGATGTGTGAAAAACTTATTGCTCGTGAATTTACCTCCTCCATCATATTAAAAAAACTTTAATTTTCCTCTCAAGCCGATTTTCAACTAATTTATGAAAAGATAGAAAAATCTCAAAGAAATTTAACTTTCGCTTCAATGGATACAACCAAATGTATCATGAGAAATCATCAATAAATACCACATAATATCGATATTTTTACATAGACGGAATTAGGCTCGGTATCCAGCAATCCTAATGTATGTATTTTCTCCAACGGATGGGAATATCGAGAATCATATAAGAAAAATGGCAATCTTGAACTTTTACTAATCTTACAACTTGTACATAAAGTGCCAATCGATTAATTACTAAAATCAAATCATCAGACCGCAAAAACTATAAAATACGACTATTTAGATGGCCTAATTAGCGATGCCATATTAGTTCATCCGCAACCTTGCTTGTCTGGGAAAAGAATGCCATGGAATTCAGGTCCTTATTGGTATATAATCCTTGAAAATTAGTTTCCATTAGAAATACCCGGTGTGTCTTGGAGTCCTTGATAGAAAAACCAGAGACATCAATCTCAAACTAAAAAGGATAATCTCTCGTCAATTAAGAGACAAATAATAAAATTTTCTTAATATGTGGAATGACCAGAACATTATTAACTGAGAACTGACCAGTTTCATTGTCAAATTAACCTGTCCCTACATGAGTAATCAGCAACGATGAACTATTCCCAACTATCACATTATCATGGCCATGGTAAGGAACTACGCTCACAAGATTACTTGGATTATCAGTCATATGATTAGCACCCTTGTTTGGATGTCATTCTTCATCTTGTGAGTTTGAGATATGAAGAGAAGCTAGGCCGTGGAGTATTAATATTCTAATAACAGTTGTCGAAACGATACCAACAACTCAATGCATCATGCCCCTTTCTTCTTAGAGGCCGTGGAGTATTGTTTGGATGTCATTCTCCATCTTGTGAGTTTGAGATATGAAGAGAAGCTAGGCCGTGGAATATTAATATTCTAATAACGGTTGTCGAAACGATACCAACAACTCAATGCATCATGCCCCTTTCTTCTTAGAGATCCGACAAACAAGATATGTCACTCCTAAGTTTGAATTTGGCGATGCACCAAAGGTTTTGGTTTGTTGAGTAGTATAGTAGTTTCCTGAAAAGTGCCAACCATTTTGGTTTGTCCGAGAAAAGCCATGACTCCTAGAATTAAATGTGGGTCATCTACCCCTTCCTCTGGGGTTGTTTGTAGCCAACATTGCCTTGTTGTGAGATAAGCGCCATTGAACTGTTTGGGAGCATGGTTGAAGTGTGCTTGTTTCATAACTCATAACTTTGAAGTTGTGCAACCATTTTAGCATAAGATATGAGAGGAGGCTTGAACATAGTCGTTTTGAACAACTCATAGCTATCATCAAGTCCTTCAAGTAATCTGAAGACTTTATTAACATCCGACACAACTTTACTAATAGAATGCAATTGATCGTAAATAGATTTAAACTCACGAAGATAAATAGATAAAGGCTTAATCTCTTTCTTAATGTTGAAGTTGTTTAAGGAGGTCAAGTTCACAAGTCACTGAACTTTGCTTGAAATGATCGGTGAGAGCTATGTCTTCGGTTGCATTTTCCGATGTCCGAGTCAGCGGTGGTGCAACCATCACTCCGGTAAGGAAACCAATTATGTCCTAACTTTCAATCAAAGACAAACACCTATGTCTCCCAAAGTAAAAAGTTATTTTTGTTGAGCTTCAATGTAACAAAATTTGCCACATTGATGTTTGAAGGAAATGGAAATCTCGTAATTGAAGAAGGAGGCAACATGATTGTATCGACTTTTTTAACAATAAAATATGAGTATGCCCTTACGTGGATCCAATACCATCAAGAAAACAAAGAATTGAATCAATGAAGCATTGCTTTTCATTGATATGTTGTACAATATAAATAGAAATATCGCCACCTATCATTATGGTGGAAATTATAGATAAAAGATAACAATTTGATCTCCATGGAAATTGAATAAAATACAAATCAGAAAAGATCTCCAAAGAATCAACCCGTGGATACTCTGCTTGATGTGTTACTTTAATGCAGATTCGTAGAAGATTCTGCACTGCAACTATTTTGATTTTTTGCCTTTTGATTTGTGTCGCGACCTCACCTCCCGCGATGCACCACTTTGGGGTTCGGCTAATGGATTGTTAAGTCTAAGCCTAACTTGGGCCCTCCCAAATCCTACCAATTCGCGACTTAGAGTTTAAGTTCTTAACATGCAAATCATTTCAATCAGGAGTCGCCACTAATCTATTTTTTAGTGGGTCGATTAGAAACTCAAGTAAAGTATCGGGAGAATTACTTTACTCCTACGAACCAGAGATTATAGATTCCGGAACTTGGTTACACTAGATTATTCTAATGCCTTTTCGGTACCTTTTCTCTTTTATTTCAAAAAATATTTGCAGGCAACTTTGATTGATTTTAAACCTATCCACTAACATGCGAGGTGATCATGCGGGTGCACAACCAATAATAAAATACTCGATAATGGAAAGCAATAAATAAATTACAAGATAGGGACTTACCTCAAAGTAGTGAAAGCATCTGCAATGTTAGTTAGAAAATTACATTGACAATCCTAATATGATTTCTAATTAACACGCAATTTCACTCAAATCTTTTTTAGGGTTTTCTCTGATTTAATGAAAACTAAATTTTATGCAATGCTTTACGTCTAGTATGACATACGACATACGATTTATTTAAATGTCCTAATTCTAACAACAATTAAATGCACTATCTCTAATGTGGCACGCAAATGAACCTAGACGTGAGATTTCTAATGATGAGAATTAATTAATATGCAACTACTCTAATAGGACATGTATGTGGTATTTTTGTGTAATTTTCTATGAAATTCGAAATTAATTAAATTCTCTAATTTAAACATGCAATCTATCTTTAAAATCATCTACTTCCATAGTATCTAATCTTTTTGGATTTTTTTAGAAAAAACAAGATCAATTCAAATCAAACAAAGATAGAAAGAAATAGCAATCAAACGACACCATATCACAAAATATTACCAATATCCATTTAAATTTAGAAACGATAGATTGACGAATCATATCCATGGCATGAGATCGGATTGGCTAATTTTTTCACACAATCGCAAATCGTATCTTGGGCGGGAGATCGGATTGACGATTTTCCGTTCGATCGCGAATCATATCTCAGGCGGGAGATTCGATTGGCAACCATACACTTCATGAAATTAGGAAATAATTCCTAATTTAAGGGTACTTGGGAGTTTTCATGGTTATGGTAATATCACTCAAAGATTTAAACAAGATTACAATTTCACAGATTAGGCAATAAAATATATGAAATCGAATAATGAAAATTCTTACCTAATCCGCGATATTGCTCGAATAGCGTTTCTAAATTCCAACTTGACGGGACGGCTCGGATTGCTGTGGCCGACTGTGGTGGACCGGCGGCGACGACAGCGATGGTTCTCACGACGGTGAACGGCACAGGCGGTGCTCGACCAACGGGGGACACGGCTCAGCCACGACGGTCGTGTAATTGACGATGGAGGCTCTCGACCAAGGATTGGCTCGCAGTGATGAGGCTACTGCGTTGCAGGTACTCACGGTAGTGGCTTCTCGGTGTAGACTTGCAGTGTGGAGTTCTCAACCCGACTAATGGGAGCTGCTTCACGGTGGGGCCGAATTGATGAAGAACCAGCGAACGGTAGTTTTGTTGTAGGGAAATCTAGAGAGCGACTCAATTTGCCGTTTGAGTAAGACCACTTGGCATGCCGAGACGATCACTAAAGAACCCGCGAAAGATAAAAACGAAAGTGTGATAGTGATGAGAATTTGCAACTCTTTCGTTCGCTGCAACTCGAGAAGGCTATGACCAGCCAAGTGGAGCAAAGCGACGATAGGAATCGCACGGGATTGATGTGGTGCAAAGCAGAGGGCAGCCAGGTCAACAAGGAGCTTCAGAAACACTCGTGGGATGTCGGGCACATTGCAGGGAGCAGAGAGAATTTGGCTTTGAAGACTCCAAGTGTAAGTCTCCTCCTTCACGTTTTTTCTTCCTTTCACGTGCAGAAGTCCCTCCGAGAACCTTTTGGGTGGACGCTCCCCTCTCTTCTCAATTGTGGCTGTCGTATCTCAATTGTGTGAAGCCCTAGTGGGTGATGAATATTACGGAAAGAGAGCTTCCTCACAAATGTGCTCTACTTTTTCTCTCGTTGGTGGCCGTGTATGAAATTGTGTGGCCTTCCTCTCTCTATGCTCTCACTCACGATTTTTGGCCCCCCGTGAAGTGAAGCCCCCCTCCTCCTTTTATATGTATATTTTTTTCACCGACAAATCCTTGTACGCATGAATATTTTCTTTCCTCTTTCTTTTCAATCAAATATCTCCTTTGTTGACTAAATCTTGCTCTCAGCTATTTATTCCCTCAAATAGTTGATCTCACAAATATCACTCAAATTATGCCGATTGTTTCGTTCTTATTTGCTATGTGACCAAAATCTTGATAATATCAAACTTTATTGCTTCAAATTTTCATCAAATTTTCCTAACTTGATACACATGATTCCGGCCACCTCAGGCTTAGTCCAGTTAAGCTCAGAATCATTCACTCAAGTCCATCTGCCGCCGGTCCAATGCAAATGCAACATATATGAGCTTAGATACTAATTCAAATGCTCCTAATCTATATGCAATTTAACTAATTTTTTGTCCAGGGATCGGGATCGATCCCTAATTTTTATGCAACGAACGACTGACTGGATCGCCAAAATTTAGGTGGCAAAAATTTGTTGTTTCAATAATGCCCATGTGAACCTGACCCGGAAAGAGGTCATCAATACGGGTAATTAGAACTTAACGTGGAAAGAGGTCATCATGGTTTTTTTTTTCTTTTGCAAAAGTTCCCATACATGATGTAAACACATTTGGTTTCAAATAGTGTGACAAATAGGGCGCATTGGTAATGACCATAGAAGCTTAGAGCATGAAGGAATATAATTTAATCATCAGCCTCAACAATTGCACTTCTTTTTTAATCATGAATTTATTGTTACATGCAGGTCAAGCATTAGTGACAGTGGCATCGGGATGATATGCAATGTGTTTCCTGAAACATTATTAAGACTCCTACTTGCCCTTTGTCCTAACATCTCTTCAAGTAACTTCCTGGACTACTCTGTAAATAAATGGCATTTCCTTTCAGTTAGCACTATAGGTTCATTGTTTGTCATGCTGAACGTGAATCTATTCAAATCATTTCTTGCATTTTATTTTGGTTCACTAACTGTTTATATATTTCAGGTGGAATTCAGTTTGCCACAGCTCAGCTGCCTCTTCTTGAACTCATGGACTGTGGTATGAGTGTATGTGATAGTAATGACGAAAGCCTCATCTCTGATGAAGCCATCAACCATGGGATGGAGAAAAGGCCCAACAGCAATCTTCACCTCATACACCAGAAGCTTATTATAAAGCACACTAAATTAAAAAAACTCAGCTTGTGGGGTTGTAGTGGCTTAGATGTGAGACTTCCAGATCCTATAATTTGTATATTGCATTCTATTACCATGGGTTCCTTGTGGTTCTTATTTTGTTGATTGAAATGCAGGCCTTGTATTTGAACTGCCCAGAGTTGAATGACCTGAATCTCAATGCCTATAAAAATTTGCTGACTGGTACGTTTTAAAAAATGTATTGGTCTTGATTGAGTGCTTACTTTAATTAATGGGATATTGATGCATCTCACATGCTTTCCTAATTTGCATCCTAATCTAACTTTAATTTTCTTTGCATTCTCAGATCGATTGCTAATTTAGTGCCCCAGTTTAGAGAATGTATATGCGTCAGGTTGTCAAGAATTGTTAATAGAGGTTATTCAAAATCACGTACGATCTGAATTTAATCAGAATATAGCATTAACATCAATTTGTGCTGCTTGTCAATATGCTTCTCCAACCTATACGAGCTTGTTGATTACATCATCAAGCACTTTAAAACTTGAATTTGCGGAACAAACCTCCTCATAGACAATGTTAACCTTGCTGGAAACTTGATGTGATATTCTACTGACGCGAAAGTCTGTATGTCGCACTTTCTTGTTGAGACCCTTGTCTTGAGAATCCTGTATGTGAGAAGTTATACCTTGCTCTATCCCCCACTTTTCTTTGTCCTTACAGTAACTTAAGGTTTATTTATATATTAAATAAATTGTTTGATCTCAAAGATTCAATGGTTTGAGGAAAGCATTAACATTTGTATTGCATCTACTTGTAGGTCAACAATGATTCTTTTCCCGTGGAAAACCATTTGCCCTTTAAACGTCTGGTTGATGGTTCCAAGAGAGTTCGGGTTCCCCATTTTCTGTGCCAACAGGTGAAGTCCCTCACCTACATATCTTCTAGTGGTTGTAACGTAAATGTCAATGCCGTTTCTTAGATACAGCTCCTTTTCTCTTTCATGTGAGCAAATGGAAAATGAATTGACAACAGCAAGTCTGATTATTGATTAGATAACAAGCAAATAGATGGACAACAGCATTAATGTCACGAGAGTATCTTGAAACATTGTATTTGCATTCTATTACTGGTTATGAAATAGAATAGGGAATCATATCATAACATCGCCTCACATGTTGACCATCTTTACTCTTCTCTTTTTTCCAAGCAGCAATTTGATGTTGATAAGAAGCAGAGAACGAGGCCGCCGTGTAATGTGCTTGCAGAATGATTATACATGTGGATAGTTTTGACAATTGACATGGTGATAGCTTCACTTGTTTGATGTCATATTACTGCTGAGGCAAGGCCCTCTAGACTGACTTCTTGCGGGTTCCCAACATTATTGCCGGTTGCTGATGCCTTGTAGAATTCCTTTAGGCATTGTGTGGCCCCCTGGTCACCATACTAGAAAATACTCTGAAGCTTAGCTTCAGCTGCATAACTTCATCATTCTAAAATAAAGTTATCAACCTATGTAATTTCTGTGCAAACGGTCTTTGTATCAGGAGTTTCATGGAAAGACTGTAATTTACTGAGAATTTATATTAGAGCATGAACTGTTGCTGCTAACATTCATGTACTTGATATCAGAGGTTAGAAGGAACTTCGCAAGGCTGAGTTTGTGGTAGATATACCAGGTTTCAGCCATGGATTACATACAGTTTGCACTGTGCCAGTTGTGATTACGACGCACATGGTTATCTTGACTAGTAGGAGGCCAAGCTGTAATAAATTTTTGCAGCACATTCGCAACTATTTTTATAGTTTGTTGCTAATTTGCGATGAATTAATAAAAATTCGTCGCTAAATTCGTTCCGGAACAATGTTTGTGGCAAAAGTAAAAAATTTTCTTGGCAAATTAGCGACGAATTTTGCGATGAAAAATTAGCGACAAATTTTGTGACGAATAATTAGCGATGAATTTTGCGACGAATAATTAGCGACAAGTTTTGTGATGACAAATTTTGTGACGAAAAATTAGCGACGAATTTTGTGACAAAAAATTAGGGACGAATTTTGCGACGAATAATTAGGGACAAATTTTGCGACGAAAAATTAGCGACGAATTTTTTTTCGTCTCAATTTAGAGACGAAAATTGAAATTTTCCGTCGCAAAATTTGCGACGCCCTATTAGCGACGAATTTTTTTCCGTCGCTAATTTCCTCGTAAATTCGTTTAGCGACGAATTTTGCCAAATTTTTCATGGCAAAATTCGTCGCTAAAACCAACTTTTTTTGTAGTGTAAACTGGCTTGCATTATGATATGCTTACTGATCTGCAATTAATTACGAATTGGATGGACCATACCCAATGAGCTTAAGACTCCGGCACAAAATTACCGTGATAAAATAAGACCGGTAGCTGACTTGATAATATGGTCTTTGTCCTTTGAGAAGAGATCTGAAGGGATTGGATTTGTGTTGTGCCCACATAATCCAAAGCGTTGTCCCAGATTCAGATGAGAAATCTTCCTCCCTTTGTGCATAATCTCAATTAGATTTTAATGAATTACACTCCATAAAATCAACTGTAATGCTAAAAAACACAACCTTAAAATTTGAAAGGCATGAGTTACCATGACGTATTTTAGTCAGTATTGATTGAGATCTTACAACTATCTAATCGACGGACATCAAGCGACTGTCGCTGGGGTCGAGCGGCCTCGTCGGCCTCTCGCTGGAGCTTCACCGTCCCGATCTGGCCTCGGGTGGCTCTGGCTGGCCGCCCTTAGTCCAAAGAAGATGAACAATCACGAGGGGCAAAATTGGAATATTAAAGAATTAGTGATGGTAGTTTGGGAAGAAAAAAAATTAGTTTCAACATTAGGCAAATGCTTAAAGTTGGACCAAGTTTGGGCTTTCAGCATTCCCAATGGTGGCTTTCGACCGAAAGCCCAGTGGAAATGCTCGCCAAACGCCTCAGCATTTCCCCAAGGGACTTTCGGCCTCGAAAACCCCTTGGTAATGCTGAACCAAACGCACCCATAATCTTGAAGAACTAATGTACAATGTTGATGAATAATTTATCAGTATAAATCGAAATCAACGACTAACTGTCCTACATACAAACGTGTGACTTACTGCCTTAATGTGAACTTATGAGCATGTCACAAAAAGGTGAACTATAACATACTTTGTTTGAACATTTATCAATTCAGTTTCAAAGCCGTGCGTGTTTGTTTGGATTTAAATGAAAGTAAAAAGTTCTCTTTACTTTTCCGCCAAAATTTAGAATATTTTTTAAATTTCAAAAAAATATGAAAAAAAATACATGTGAGTATACGTGTTAGCATTCGAGTACTATGAAAGTTTCAAGAGTTCAGGATTTTAAAAAGAAGTTAAATGCTTAAATTGTAAGATTTAAATTAAGCAAAAAAGTAAAAACTAAAAGTCGTTCCGGACAATTACTGGGGTTTTCCCCAGTGGCTACCCTTCCTACTTGGGGCGGGGGAGATGGGCAGTTCAAATCCCCACTTTCTCAGGGAGGTTAAGGGTGGGTACGTATAGTTTCAGATGTAGGTTTCAACTCCCACGCCCTACAAGAGGTAGGGCAAAAATCTGAGAGTAAATTAAGAGTTAGAGTAGGACAAACAAAAAAAAAAGTCGTTCCGAACATACTAGTGACTGATGGAAACATATCAATATAGATTTAGAACTTCTTATTAGTTATCCAGTACAATACACAAATTCAAAGTTAACCACCCAAAATACTTGAAACCAACTAAAATTCAAACCACCCAAACCTTAAAAAAGATGCTAAAGGTCTGTTTAGTAACGTTTCCGTTCCCAGAAACAATTTCTATTCAGAAATAGTTTTTTCTATTTCTATTCCCTAGACGAGTTTCTGAACAAAAAAACGCATTTAGTAACTGCACAAAATTTCAATTCCCAAAGTAGAAAAAGAACAGAAATAGATTTGGTAGGGCACTATAAATTTCTACTCCCAATTTTCTCATTTAATTATAAAATTGTCGATAGAGACTTAACAATTCATGTTTGGATAAAATTGGACTAAAAATAAAATAAGAATACATTATGATATAGAATTGGATGACGTTAATATAATCATAAAGAAAATTACTCACAAAGCAAATATCGAGTGGTAGTCGAGGAAATTACAGTTTAGGAGACTTAACAATTCATGTTTGGATGGACTAAAAATAGAATAAGAGTGCATTATGATATAGAATTGGATGACTTTAATATAATCATAAAGAAAATTGCTCACAAAGCAAATATCGGGTGGTGGTCGAGGAAATTACAGTTTATGAGACTTAACAATTCATGTTTGGATAAAATTGGACTAAAAATAGAATAAGAGTACATTATGATATAGAATTGGATGACTTTAATATAATCATAAAGAAAATAACTCACAAAGCAAATATCGGGTGGTGGTCGAGGAAATTGCAGTTTAGGAAACTTAACAATTCATGTTTGGATAAAATTAGACTAGAAATAGAATAATAATATATTATAATATAGAATTGGATGATCTTAATATAATCATAAAGAAAATTACTCATTATAGAGAAAGCAAATATCGGGTGGTGGTCGAGGAAATTACAGTTGGTGTAGGATTTTAGGATTTTAGGATTTGGGGTTAGGGTTTTAAGATTTCAGTTTTGAGGTTTAGGGTTTGGGGTTTGGAGTTTAGGTTTTAGAGTTTCGAATTTTGGGTTTAGTGTTTTGAGTTTCGGGTTTAAGGGTTTAGGGTTTTAGAGATTCGGGTTTTGGGTATTAGGGTTTGGGATTTAGGGTTTACAGTTTGGGATTTAGGGTTTAGGGTTTACAGTTTGGGGTTTAGGATTTAGGGTTTGGGGTTTTGCGATTTAGCGTTTTAGGATTTAGGGTTTGGAATTATGATTTAGGGTTTCGGGTTTGGAGTTTTGGGGTTTAGGGTTTAGTGTTTCAAGTTTTGGGTTTGGGATTTTATGGTTTGGGTTTTCAGGTTTAGGATTTGGGGTTTAGAAGGTTTAGGATTTGGGTTTTTGATTTTTGTGTTATGGGTTTTAGGGTTTGGGTATTGAGGTTTAAGGTTTTGGGGATTAGGATTTGAGGATTAAGGTTTTGGGTTTTGGGGTTTAGAGTTTGAGGGTTAGGGTTTAGGGTTTTAGGGTTTAGGATTTGTGGTTTAGGGTTTAGTATGAAAATATCTTGTGAAAGAGAGAGAGCTGATCTTGTTTCTCTATTGTTTCTCTTTTTGTTCTAAAAATAGAAAATTAGATCTTTTTTACTTCTTATTTATGTTTCAAATCTATTCCTAACCACTTTTATGTTCCGGGAAACAAAAAAGCTAACTGACGTTACTAAACGGATTTATGTTCTTTTTATGTTCTAGGGAATAAAAGAACAGAAAAATAAAGAAACAGAAACATTATTAAACAAGCCCTAAATGAGTATGCAAGGATGAGCAACTTGGTCTTTTCTATATAGGGTTTTGCTTAGAGGTATGTGAATAGTATTTGCATATATAAAGATTTTAAGGAGTTATTGGGTTAATAGTAAGATATGTTTTTGGTATTTTCCCCATAAGAGAAGGATCCAATATGATATCAATATAAGCACCGCTTTACAAAATTGAACAACAAATACGCTGATTTTATAGAAGAAATGATGCAACAAACTTTGATTGACTACTTGAGCTTGTGAGTCATGTTTAAATACTTAATAAAGATCTATCCCATGATTTACAACTCGATTTCATAAAACTAAGTTTTATATTGAAATAACATTGAGTAAGGAAAGGAAACGTGCATGCACTGGCCTGTGTAAGGAAAGGAAACGTTTTTTTTTTTTCATCTTTTCTTTTGAAGGAATAAAAAATGACTTTGGTCAATAAGTATGTTTATATGTTAGGGTTTACATATGGCCGTCACGCGCTTGACATTAATAATGCACATTGGGGAGATGAAATCGGAGCGCTCCCTAAGCCAAGAGATCCAGGTCAAACAAGGAAGAAGTGATCGCTCCATTTGTCTTTTATTTAAGCAAAAAGCCATTCATAATTTACATTGAGAGCGAGAGGGAGGAGATGCTTAGAAATGTAACCTTTTTCGGTTTTACACGCCCTTACTTGTAAATTTCCTCTTTAAGGCTTCCTCATAATGTCTCTTCAAAGCACTGTCTTCTTGATGCATATAAACTCTCTGGATGGATAATTGATCGGACAGTTGAGTTGCAACCGAGATTATGATAGAGAGAGTGATAAAATTCAAACTGAGCAAAAATATGGCATTTAGCTCCATTCCAAATTCGTGGAACAAATTAAACCTTTGAGGCTTTGTCATATTGAGTATCTCGCTTCAAATCTTTGTCATTCTATATGCACCCCTTATAAAAAAAACAATGAACCACCGCAATGTTTTCCTCTTGTGGTTTGCCTAAGCGATAGCTGACTGGGTAGTAGAATTCACAATCAAGCTCATCTCTCACAACCAAAGCAATTCATGTGCTCATGCAGCTGAAGTAGACGACGCACTTCAGGCATTTTGGGCCTCATTTCTCTTGTTACATCTTCGTGGTCCGGACACCATCACTACCTTCTCTATGTTTTTGTGTAGATATTTCCCAACGATGCTGGTGAGGTTATGAGCTAAACTGAATTATTAGAACTAAGCTTGCAGGCCTCGGGAAATTCAGCCAAGCCCTAATTCCCTCATGATGGCCAAAAATTGCATGAGCTATGTACATGGATTTTATAAACTTGGAAAGATTTCATTTAATCAAATTTGGGGGAAATAAGAATATTATCCTTGAAAATTTTAATTTCATGAAAATAAGAAGTGAAGATACATTCTCTTGGTCCAATTTAGGAAGGTAAGTAAAGTGATATCTTGAAAGAAAACGCTAAATTTTGGGGTTCACAAGAAGGGGCTTGGACACAATACATGCAATAATGTCCTGCGGTTGGTTTATTTGGAATCAAGATTGAATGTGTTGCACGGCAATAGGACCCGAAATGGGTCATCAATATTCGTAATTACAACTTGAGGATTAAGATGCATGTCATGTTATTCATATCAAAAGAGTGAATCATAAGAATCGCTTGATTGGAACATAAGAATTCGGACATTTTAAATAAGAGTACGGAGTCAAAGTCATGTTAGAAATACTAAAGCTGGCATGGAAAATTTATCCACGAGATGATATATAAATTTGATTGGTTTATGAAATTAGTCACTTTCGGATTAAATCAACATATTTCATGAGATATTTGTGTTTACTATTCACTAATTATAGCAATTATGATAGATTCAAGTACTTCTTGATTGGAGCTTATAAGCTGTCATAATGTATCTAAGTTCTTGTTGATTAAGGCATAAATGCTCACAGTTGATCATGCTAAGGTGATTCGAAACCGAAAAAAAAAATCCACGCTAAGAAGGGCGTTTGATATATCTTTTTGCTTGAATCAATTTTTCTCCATATGAAGCCCGTGGAAATTTTTGAATTTGACACAAAATGATTATAACTTCTCGTGTGCAACCTGAAATTAATTTATGAGAAGTTATATGATTGTCATGAGCTAATTGAGCATATATATCATCGGAAAGTCACTCTTTGTGAAAAAAAAAATTTCTTGCTACGTGAGATGTACACACAGAAGAAGAGCATCGAGTACTAATAACGAGACCTCAAGTAAGAAATTTAGATTATCCTGAAGGTAGAAATTATAAGTCTAATGCCACGTCAAACATGTGGAGTCTGTACCCAAATCACATTACTTTTACTCGATTTGATACAAGCTTTTTAATTTAGGCAGACCCTCGGGAGGTGCGTTAAATCTCAAGGCTCGAAACTTTCACGTTTTTCAAGGGACATACCTAAACTCTTTTCGTCTTTAGCTGGGTACACAAAAAGTGACACGCACATGCATGGCATGTCCCGATGTACCTCTTCAACTTCACTTTTTTCGATTAGTCAATATTATTTACGCTAAAAAAAATTTAAACAAAAAGTTCGACGAATGGGCATCCAAACATAAAAAATCACAAAAAAAATTGGGGAGAACGGGCAACCCTGAAAGTGGGAGGGAATTCGAGCGTTGACCCATAGCTACCCAATCAGCTATTTGGTTTGCAGAAGCGGGCACAATGGGCCAAAGAAGCATTTTTAAATTAGGCCAGCCTGAACCGCATCTCTTCCATTAGAGTTTCCGACTCCCAGCACACGTGCATCTTCTTCAGAACTCCATCTACCGATTTTGCACAGTCCTACTCAAACACCACCACACCCTCTTCAATTTGAAGCATTGGGCTTGGGCACCTCTAAACACTCTTCCCTTATTAATTTGATTGGTTTGAGTATTAGTACCTACTCTACGAAAAAGTCAATAGCGAATAGTCCACTGATCAATTCGAGAATTATAGAGTAACAATCACTCAAAAACTCAAGTGTTTTGCATCACAGTGTTAATAAATAAAACCACTCAATTGGATGTAAAATTCTATGTCAATTTCGCTTCTTTCTCCGAGTCCTTTTTTTATGTTTTTATTTTTGAGTCCACTGTGTGGCTTTCTTGAGTTCCAGGGTCAAGCACTTTTAAGATTCCTCCGTTGAGGCATAAAAGGAAGACGTCTAGGGTTTGTTTGACAAGTTGCCAAATAGTGAAAATTTCTATTCTTTTATTCCCAGAATCAGTTTGAAAACAGAAATCCGTTTGTTAAAATTTTTGTATCCGGGCACAAATTTGCAAACAATTGTTTCCGGAATCAATTTTGGAACAGAATCAAGAAGTAAAAAAAAGTAGCTTTTTGATTCTGGGAACAATTTTTTCATTTCTGATTCTTCTTGATTTTCTTCTTCCTCTTGGTTTGTTGTTCTTCACCTGCCGCCGGCCGGCGAGGGTCCCCCTCACCGCCTAGGCGAGGGTGGCTCGCTGCCACGATGGCGAGGCCTCGCCCTGCCATGGCAAGGCTGACCTTGCCGTTGCGACCCAGGCGAGGGAGATGGGTCGCGATGATGAGATCGGCGGCAAGGGCCGCAACGCCCTAGCCGGCCCTAACCTGTGGCCAGTCACCCCTCGCCGGCCTTGGCCTGTGGCCGGTCACCGACACCGACAACTGGCCATGACCAAGGAAGGTAAGGGAAAGAAAGAAAAAAGAAAGAAAGAAATATTAAAAAAATCAAAATATTATTAATAAAAAGAAATATTGTGTAGTTACCAAACGTATTTCTGTTCCTTTTCTATTCTAAGAATAAAAATTTAGGGCAGTTACTAAATGCCTTCAAATGCTTAAAAATTGTTCCCTGGCATGGAATAAAAAAGAATCATTTCTGAGTAAAATCAGTTCCCGGGTACAGAATCATTGCCATACGCACCCCTATCGTTTTCGTCCATTTCTATTTCTTTTATGCGGCTTAAAATCAATAAGAAAAGAATTTTAACCCTCCTCTTTATACGGCCAATCAACAGTAGCGTCGCTTGTACGGTCATTTAGAGGAGTCGATCTCTTGATTGATCAATCTTGCATCTTTACATAATTGGCACCGCTCTAAAGAAATTAGATAAAAGACGAAAGTAAAGTAACAACTCTTATCTTGGTTGAAATCCTACAGCACGGCATCAATAGGTATTCAGTCAAGAATTTTGATCCACCTCATCCAATTCGAGTTGGGTCTTGTACATGGACTCAAACTCGAGACTTCTTTTAAGAGAGCTCTTGATTGGAGGTCATACCTGCCTGCAATCAATCGCGCTTAGGTGATCTGAAGCTAAAAAAATAAAACATAAAACCCACATTGATATTTAGTCTATCTTAGAAACTTGACTTCGCCTCTATGGTTTGACTTTGATTTGAGTTCAAATATATCTTTTTGGTTAAACTGATTTTTCTTCATATAAAGCCGGTAGAGATTTTGAATTTCACACAAGATGATTACAACCTGTCTTGTGTTTCATCTGAAATTAATATATGTGAAGTTATGTAATTGTCATGAGCTAACCATGCATTAGATATTATCGAAACATTACTCATTGTGAAATTTTTTTCTCCCTACGGGCATGTATAAACGGGAGAAGGGTGTCGAGAACTAAACATTAGACCTCAAATAAGAAATCTGGCATATCCCAAACATAAGAGCTAAAAATCATTGCCATATAAAACGACAAAAAATACTATTTTAAATATAGTGCACATCAAATATCAAATATGCGAAGTTCAAACCTCAACCGGCATACATGTACTCAATTCAATCGACCCTTTTAAGTTTTAATTTAGGCAGGCACTTGTGAGATTTATCAAATCCAAAGGCTTATACATGGTCACGCGATGTCGTGCTTTGCATGCATGCAATTCATTTCCTATGGCTTCCATGGGGCATGCTAAACACGTTTTCTATAAACCTCGTGCACAAAAAGTGACTTATACATAGGCCCGTAAAACGGGTAAGTCGAATAAAAAATGATCCGATCCAAATTGATCCATTTAATCCGTTTTGACCAATTTATATGCAATACAAATTTAACGACTCATACCCAACTCATATGTGATCCGAGCCGGATCCATTCTAGTAATTTTTTCTCTTTGGATTGGTCTTTGAAGAATGGATCGGCTCTTTGCACCCATACCCAACCTGATGCATGAATTACCGATTACAAAATCGATCATACTCATAAACTACAATGGTAAATTTGCATGAAAATTACGAATAAGAATAGAGTGTCCAATCAATTTGGTGCCCAATCATCCCGCATTGATTCACAACATCAAATTAATTTGATTCTAAGTTCCAAATTATGGCATTTCGAGACCCTTGATTGGCTTACTTTTCAAGGAGTGTACATGCATGTCGATAAGGTGTACATCAAATTCACATACCATTGGCAACGAAAATTCCTATAGTCTGTTCACGGTTACGACTCTTGGCTCGAAACTTTTGTACGGATAATTCACGAAAGAACTATCTATATTGGGGTTGTAGCTAATAGGAAATGAGAATTAACAACAATTTTGTCCCGGAGATTCGTAGACTTTTCACACTTGGGAGGAGGGCCCATCGAGACTTGTCCCGTTCTCAAATCGACTGCCCCTTCCCTAAATTGCTGTGAGTGAGAGAGCGAGTGAGTGGGTAAGATTGGGCCCCATTTTGTGGTGGACTTAATTGGGTTTTACAGCTCGAATTCATAACAATACATTTACTAAAAGTTGACTGACCTATATGCGACCCACCTCATTTCACATGAGTTAAAAAGGGTGTCTTGTGGATTCTTGGTTTGTGGTTGAGGTTTCCTCACCGTAAGTGAGGAGTCGAAGCTCTGACTGAGATTACCCCGCCTGTCTAAATGTATACATTTAATAAGTTATCAGGACTGCGTCCCTTATTTTAACGTACCAAACTCGCACTCTTAGTCCTCCTAAGTTGTCCTAGATATGTTTATAGGAGGAAGGAAGGAAATATCCCCTTAAGAGTTTTACCTTAGAAGATGGAGCATTTTAAGGAATTGTTTATGTCCGGACTAATCCATATACATCCAACTCATTTTATATGAAATTAAAAGTGGGTCAAAAACCCATTTCGACACCTCTATTTATACATGCATGGCCAGCATCGGGCTTGGACTACCCCAAACTTCATACACTCTTCCCCCCTCCCCCTCTCTCTCTCTCCATGGATATGGATTCTCCACTTCTCTCACCCAGAGCAGAAACTTGTGAAACTAACGAGAACTGCATCGTCCCAATCAACGAGAGCCTCGAGCGCATGCCCTCCGACGAGCAACGGTACTGGAAGAATCCGTCCATCTACACGGTCCCCGCCTCCATCACCAACCTCAACCTTAAGGCCTACCAGCCGCAGGTTGTCTCTTTCGGCCCCTTCCACCACGACAAGGACCTCCTCCGTCCAATGGAGGAACACAAGAGCCGCGCGCTCCTCCACTTCCTCAATCGGTCTGGGAAGTCCCTCGAGCCCTTCCGCAAGTCCCTCAGGGAGGTGGCACGGGACCTCGAGGAGAGATACGACGTACTGGACAAGAAGTGGAACGAGGGCACGGGGGACCAGTTCCTGGAGCTGATGATCAGGGACGGCTGCTTCATGATCGAGATCATGAGGACCAGCATAGGGGAGAAGTGTGACTATGAGCCCAGTGACCCCATCTTCAGCATCCACAGGCTGACATACATATCGCCGTACATAAGGCGGGACATGCTGATGCTGGAGAATCAGCTGCCGATGCTAGTGCTGTATCGGCTGGTTGCTGTCGAGAACAATGGCGAGGAGGTTCGTTTCTCAGATTTCACTCCGTCTTTAGAGTGGTCATTGCACGCATGCAAACCGCCGTACTATGTTCACCTAGCAGTACATCTTGGTAATCTCATATGGATCTCATGTGAAATCCATTATATCTAATGCTCCAAACGTTGAGGATGCACTGTTCGAGAACAACTAACAATTTCATTATTAAATCTATCACCTCGATCGGAGACTTCTTTTTTCTTTTTCCTTTTATGCGAGTAGTATCGACACGACAACAATCTCGTATTCAATGCACTGACTTTACTCCAACAACGCAGCGTGACGAATACATCAACAAGCTCATCCTCAGGTTCTACTCACTCCACACGGCCATCAAGGGGATGGGCAGACGCTTGCATGTCGTGGACGTCTTCAGGGAAGGCCTGCTGATGGAGCCCGAGAATGTCCAGCACGAGATGGAAAATGTGGGGGCTGAGGCTGGCGAGGAGATAGTCTTTTGCAATAATCACCTCTATGGGAGACATTTTTTTTTCCTTTTAAGCAAGTAGTGTCAACACGACAGCAATCTTGTATTCAATGCACTGACTTGACTCCAACAACGCAGGGTGACAACAACAACCTCAAGCTCTGCTCCCTCGACGCGTGCATCACGGGGATGGTCAGATGCCTCCTGCATGTCTTGGACGTCTTCAGGAAGTGCCTGGTAAGGGAGACCGAGGAGGTCCAGCACGAGGAGACCGTGCAGATAGTCCGGCCGGTCACCGAGCTCCACGAGACCGGGATCCAGTTCAAGAAGAGCCAGACCCGCAGTCTCAAGGGAATCTTCTTTGCCGGAGGGGTCCTGAGGCTCCCCGTGATCAAGGTGGATGACACCACCGAGTCCATCTTCCTCAACCTCATGACTTTCGAGCGCTTGCACATCGGGGCTGGGAACGAGATCACAGCCTACATCACCTTCATGGACAACATCATCAACAATGAGGGGGATGTCGCGCTGCTCCACACCCAAGGCATCATCCAGAATGCCATCGGAAGCGACAAGGCGGTGGCCAAGCTATTCAACTCTCTGTGCAAGGAAGTGCCACTCGCATCCAACAGCAGCCTTGACGCCGTGCAAGAGAACATGAGTAAGTACTGCAAGAAGCCATGGAACATTTGGAGGGCTAATCTCAAACACACCTACTTCAGGAATCCTTGGTCGATATTGTCTCTCATCGCCGCCATCTTCCTCTTCGCCCTCACCATAATTCAGACCATATATATTGTGCTCAGCTACAATTGAACCCTCCCGTTGCCTCTGCATGATAATTTCGTTTTTCCATTTTTGGGTTTTTCTCCTAATGGCTGTTGTTCGATAATTATCTGTTGATTGTTGTCATGAATGATTTTCCTCCTGTTTTCAGTCTTGCTTATTTCCCTCTCTAATTGTTTTGAACGATGGACATTTGGCTATTTATATATCATTATCAGATGATGATTGTCTTGTTTCAGACTTCTTCATTTTTGTCCTATTTGGATAGGTAGTTTGGAGAATGATCGAGTTTGAGGCAAATGAAATCTTCCATTGTAACATTTTCTTCTTGATTAAATTTTGTTGAAGTTGTGGCCAATTTATCCAGAAAAGCCAAGACTCTACAAGTTTCTAGATCTATAGTGAGGAGTTAAAAGTTTGTGGTTCTAGCTAAGTTGGTGGGAGTTAGAAGTAATGGCTAAAAATCTGCCCGACATGTAAAATGAAGCAAATTTCTCTGTTTGTGACAGATTCTTAGCAGAAGAGTCGATTAGGAAGGACTATAAAAAGGCTTCATGCTCGTTCATTCATGTTCAGATCAACTACAGCTCCATAAATCCCTTGTACCAAACATTTTGATAATACAACAAGCTCCAAAAGCTACTTACCACGCGATATGTATTTTATCGTCACTCGATATAATTAACCTATGCACAAATTTGTAGTAATTTAATCTTAATAGAATCCCTTTCCGAAAATCACGGTCACGGAAAATATAATTTAAACGGTTCGCACACTACAACTTTTTTAATCCACCTAGAGTTTTCCACATGTGACATTTATGTCTTTTTTTCCTTCGTATTATTAATTGATGTGGGAATTTCCAGATGTCACAGGCTCTCTCTCTCTCATAAATTTTTTTATATGTCATTGGATCTTAAACTTTTTTATGATGACATACGGATATTTTGATAATAAATCTACATGGACAAGTATATTTCAATGAAAAGATTCCATTTTTTCTTTAAAGCTCATTATATGCTGATGATTGAAAGGTTTGATTGGATAAATCAACAATAAAAAAATTTTGAGGAGCGGAATTGAAAAACTGTGTTAGTAATAAGACTAAATTAGCGTAATTGGTGTTATGTAGATAAAGAAGAAAAAAAGGAAAAATATCAAAATGGACCACCTGATGGGCCTAAAAGTTCTTGACGGGTTTAACTTGTAATTCTAGTAGAGCAGCCCAATCCTAAGGATCAATAAAAGCTGGCTTGGGTTGCGGAGGTAACCAAGAGGCGTGTTCGGGCAGGCTCGTACAATCCTATCGAAACGACATGAATGCTCTATCACGTACGATGCTACCTTCATTGTCTTAATAAATCTAAACGTTGATCTATACAAACGAGGCATATATCAATGTTGAAATGCCACGAGAAACACTTTAGGAATAAAAGATTTTACTTGTTTTGAAATTCTTTGGCCCATCTAAAATTGTGGAAACTCTCTATTGCAAATCTCCCGAGGTGAATCCCGAGGGATTGAACCGGCGGGCGAGTATAACTCTATTGCATGGTGGCACTTACACTTCGTAACGGGCTCTCCCAAGTCTTACCACAACTTGACTTCTCATTTATGGGATAAGGATACCACAAGCGTCATAACTTTCGTACAGCACTCACTTGAATATCATAACTTATTCTTTCAATCACTTGAGTGTCATGACTTCTAAAGAATGTTCACTCATGTGTTATAACTTTCAATCAATTATTTGAGTGTCATAAACTTTTAAAAAAAACTTCCATCAAGCCATTTTGCATTGTTCCAAAGACGAAAGGGGCTCCCGTGGGGTTTGCAAAAATAAAAAATAAAAAAAGAAACGTTCAGGAAATTTGGCGGGTAACGATATCGAAGCCGGACGCGTTCCCGCCAATTTTGTGATTTCGCTGTTTCATTTTAAGGGCACAATAAGAAAAAAAAAACGAAGAAAGCCCGCGCGCACTCAACTGATTCGAGTGGGAAGAAAAAGAATTTACATGAGCGGCGAAGGCACACTGAGTTGACTCGTTCGGTTCCGTGAATTCCGACCATCGTCATCTGTTCTTTCTTTTTTTCTTTCGGGAGTCCTTAGTACATTAGCCACTAATTCTTGTATTATTGATTTAAGGCCTTGCTCGTTTGAAAACCCAAAAAAAAAAAATAGAAAGAAAAATATGTTTCTAGCGACCGTAATATTACATGTTTAAGTAATGTAAATTGATGATACCGAGTTAATCCAATGAGTGAAGCCTGGCTGAATAATTGCACGTTCGTATCGAAATTTGGGTATGCAAAGGCGAAATATTAGTTCACGGGACACGTTAATTACTCGGGGTGATTGGTTTCACGGTATGCCGATTACCATCCTAGAATCGAGAACGACCCACTTGATCGTGGACCCAAACAGGAATCGGACCGACCAATCTGTTTCGATTCCCGAGTGGGTTCAGGAATTGGCCATATTTCCTTTGTTTTTTTCTATTCCCTACAAGATTGTAAGTGTCGTTGCATAACCACAACACGTTGGTCATCTCCACGAATAAAATTCGTGATCAACATGATGATTGTCTCCACAAATAAAGCTATAACGATCATGAAGACCCAAGTACGAGAGGTGTTGAGCCGCGAGGGAGGTGCAAGTATTGCAAGACTAAGACCAAGAGAAATGAGAGTGAGAGGCGTGAGCAACAAGTGTGCATGAGTGAGTCTGAGCGAAAAAAGAATGGGCATTAATGTTTTTGAAAAATGAAATAATAAAAATTAAAAAGTCGGTGCAATCCAGGAGGGTAGGTCCACACTTAAAATCAGGAATATGACCGATATTCACCGGTTCTAAATTTTAGGAGTCAAGAACCGGCCGATTTAGTCTGATTCTTTTTTTTTGGTGTAAAATGTAAGTAGTATATAACAGATGATGTACAGCAGCTTAGGGGCATTCCCCGGCATTACAACTAGTACTAATAATTCGAGAATATGGAAGTAGGAAGTCTCCATAAAGTAGCTAAAACAAAGTTAGGTTGTGAAGGTTTGATTTTTTGGTATAGCGAAGCTCTACCTCTTACATTTTTCCGCACCTTCGCCAAAATAATCTGAATGTCAGTTGGATTGTTTTGAAACCGCCTATGGTTGCTCTCCATCCAAGTGCAATATACAGTCGCTAGGAAAGATACTTTGAGGAGTTTCGCTGCCAAATCTTTGCCTCTCGTTGCTCTAACCATCCATTGAATCTCCTCATTCCATCCCCATACATTACGCCTGATCCCATGTTGCGCAAGAATATTGCGCCAGATGCTACCTGTCCATTCGCATTGGAAGAAAAGGTGAATCGTGTTCTTTATACTTGCCCTACAGAAGGTACATTGAACATCGACTGAGGTCATCCACCGTGATATGATCTCTGCTGTCGGAAGCCTATCCCTACATACTAGCCAACCAATAAAATTGTGTTTGCTAACGCCGCTACTCCATATTAAGTTATACCACTTCACAGCCAGACTCTCGTGTCTAAGTTCATCCAAGACATCATGGCAGCAATATCTTGGATTAGACATGACTGGGGTTAGGACATGACGTAGTTTGAGGATACATCGCCAACTCCAGGCCATACTACCCTTCATGTCCATCTCCAAAAATGGGGTTCCTCTGCATTTTGTATTGTGGACCCAGGAGCTCCAAAGTGAAGAAGATGGATGATTGATAAGATTCCACAATGTGCGCCCTAATAACACTTTGTTCCATAGGTTCAAATCAGGCAATCCTAACCCTCCTTCCTTTTTGGGTGAGCATACTACACGCCATGTAACTTTGTGCGATCCACGGTTTGTTGAAGACCCAACCCATAGGAAGTGGCAAATCTTCTTCTCAATCTCATAGATAGTTTGCTTCGGAAGAAGAAACATTTGCATCCAGTACGTGCAGATAGATATAAGGACCGATTTGGTTAGTTGTAACCGACCCGCATAACTCATATGCTTCATTCCCCAACTCTCAATTTTCTTGAATATCTTATCAGTAAGGCTTTTGCAATCTGAGTGGGTGAGTCTTTTAGTAATAAGAGGAACACCCAAGTACTTGATAGGGAGAGTACCTGCGGGAAAAGGCGTATGGTCCAATATAAGAAGCTTTTCCTCCTCATTTAACCCAAAGAAAAATATTTGGCATTTGTCAGGGTTAAACCGCAGTCCAGTGAGAGTGTCGAATTCTTCAAGAGCTTCTACCAGGCATAGAACAGAGTCTACATCTCCATGGGCAAATAAGAACAAGTCATCAGCGAAGCAAAGGTGTGTAATCCTTTGCGTTTTGCAGCGCCAATGGTATTTGAAGGAAGAACTAGCAACTTTTGCTCTTACAATTCTATTGAAAATTTGCATAACTAGAGCAAATAAATATGGAGAAAGAGGATTACCTTGTCTCAGCCCATTAGTGCTACTGAATTACCCTACCTGTTCGCCATTAAAATTTACTGAAAACCTCGGGGTAGTAATGCACTCACTTATCAATTCAACCAGATGTTGGGGTGTATTTAGAGCTTTTAGGACCCCGATGACTGCATCCCATCTGACCATATCATAAGCCTTCATGAGATCTATTTTTATGGCGACACGTTTACCTTTTATCTCCCTTATGATAGTTGTGAAGTAAATCTTGGCATAACAGGATATTTTCTGAGATTTGTCGTCCGGTGATGAAAGCCGTTTGGTTTAAATCAACAATCAAGGGGAGCATTCCGCTTATTTGTTCTGCAAGGAGTTTGGATAAGATCTTATACAAGGTATTACAGCATGATATGGGTCTGAACTCCTTGAGGGATGAGGGATTTGGAACCTTCGGGACAAGAGAGATCAAAGTGGAATTTATAGATTTCAATAATCTTTTGGACGAGAAAAAATCCAGTATAGCTTCCTCGATGTCGTGTCCAATGATAGGCCAAGCACTTTTGAAGAAACGACTGTTAAAACCATCTGGGCCTGGTGCTTTGAAATCATTGAAACCCTTTAGGACTCGAAGAATATCCTTTCTCTGGGGTGGAGTGAAAGTAACTAAAGCATTGATATCTTCATGAAAAAAAGGGACAAACCTCTCATAAGGGATACAAGGTCCCCTGGAACTACCAAGAAGGGCTTGATAGTATGATAAGATTGTGTTCTTAAGAGCCCCCTCTTCAGAGATAACGGATCCATCCTCAAGTATGAGATGATTTATCCTGTTCTGAGCACTTCT